CAATGGCTGCAGGTGGTGGCAGCCCAATGGGCCACAATGTGCAGGGTTCCGATGGAGTGGGCACTTCCTCGGGAAATTGGCATTGCGATTCCACATGGGTGGGTGTCAGAGTCATCACAAAATCTACCGGTACCTGGGCCCTGCCAACTACAACAACCACCTGTTCAAGAAAATCAACAACTCTGGAGCAACTGGAAACAATGACAACCAGTACTACGGATTCGGCATCCTGTGGGGATACTTGGACTTCAATCGGTTCATGGCCACTTTTCCCTTCAAGACTGGCAACATCTCATCAATAGCCACTGGGGACCAAAAAGGCTTGACTTGAAGCTTTTCAACATTCAAGTCAGAGAAGTCATAACACATGACAACACATCACTAATAATCTCACAAGCACAATCCAGGTGTTGGCGGACTCAGACTATCAGCTACGGTATGCAGCGGGGAATGCACACGAAGGAACGCTGCCTCCGTTTCCAGCAGGTGTATTCATGGCTCCACAGCATGGATATCTAACTCTCAACAACAGAGACAATGCAGCCGGCAGGTCTGCCTGTTGTCTGAACTCGCACCAGTAGCAGGTGCTCCGTTTTGTCCAAAAATCCTAACTCCAGTTTGAGGACATGTTGCTTCGTCTCCAATACGAGAAGCCATTGCAATGCCTGGTTGCATTCTGAGTGCTCTTAAGTTGACAAGCACTTTGTTTGCAGATGTCCATCCAACTGACGCGCTGTTGTTGGCAGCTGTTTCATGCACGACCTGCTGTCGCATGCAAGGACCAGGCGGCCAAGTGCGATATTGTGATGTTAGGTCGCCTTTGTTGCATTTTTAAAAACCAACTTGCTTACGCTGTTTTGAGCATTTGCAGCGAGTGTCCATGGATAGTGATCTATTAGAGGATTCATCAATCTGTCAATGCTCTGGTTGTGCGCACATGAGCAGCAGAATGGCATGTCTCCGAGAGAATAGCTGACATCACATTCAGCTATTCATTCGGAAACATAAGCAAGTTGGTTTTTAAACATGCAACAAAGGTGACCTAACATCACAATATCGCACTTGGCCGCCTGGTCCTTGCATGCGACAGAAGGTCGTGCATGAAACAGCTGCCAACAACAGCGCGTCAGTTGGATGGACATCTGCAAACAAAGTGCTTGTCAACTTAAGAGCACTCAGAATGCAACCAGGCATTGCAACGGCTTCTCGTATTGGAGACGAAGCAACATGTCCTCACACTGGAGTTAGGATTTTTGGACAAAACGGAGCACCTGCTACTGGTGCGAGTTCAGACAGCATAAAGATGACAATCAAAAGCAAAATACAAACAATCCAGTTGCCTACAAGGAAGGATACAGAATAGCAGACAACGTGCAGCAGACAAGCACAGGACCAACACTGGAAAACGTCAACCACCAGGGAGTCGTTCCGGGAATGGTGTGGCGAGATCATGAAGTACACTTCCTTCCAGGGACCGATTTGGTCTAAAAGTCCTCACACAGATGGACATTTTCATCCCTCGCCACTGACGGGTGGATTTGGACTGAAACATCCCCGTCTCAAATTCTAATGAAAAATACTCCGGTTCCTGCAAATCCTCCAACAACGTTCGCCACCAGCAAGACCAACCCGTGCATCTCTCAGTATTCCACAGGACAAGTGACGGTTGAAATCGAATGGGAGCTTCAAAAAGAGTCGTCCACGAGATGGAGTCCAGGAGTGCAGCACACAGCAAGCTTCGGCACCGAGGCTACACTTTCATTTGGCCCCGGCAGCAACGGAGTGTGTCCAGAATCCAGGGCGACTGGCACTCATTACCTCACCTGCCCGCTCTAACCCAACAATGTTGCATATCATCAATAAGCTGTGTATTTGTAATTAGACTTTGGTGCATGAGTGCTTCTTATCAATAAATAGCATGTTAATCATCAACCAATAGACATCAGAGACACACAGAGACCTGTCAGTGTTCACCTCTCACGGAAAGAGTGGGCAGTCCCGGCCTCTCCAGGAAACTGTCTGTGGTTCTCATTGCCCTGGAGCAGAGCCAGGTGTGGCCTCCTCAGCTGCTATCACCCTGGGGCCACACCTCCCCCATGGGCCATGCCTCCCCGATGGGCCACACCTCCTCAGCAGTGAGCAGCAGCTGGGGATATCTATTGTCTGGGTGCACATGCCCTGGGGAAAGTCAGCACACACCTTGGTCACAGGTTGGCTCCCTGAGCACGTCACTAATGGGAATATGTGTCTGTTAGAAGGTCAGCAGTGGAAGGCTCCTCCTAGCACAGCCTGGATGAGCAGAATTGAGCTCCAGGCAGGAGGAAGAGGATGAGCTGGGGGCGTGAAGGGGCAGGGCGGGCCAGGAAGAACAAGGATGTGGCAGACTGGGGTCACCCTCTTCTCAGCTCTTCAGTTTGCCTCCTTTCCCTTCTCATCTCCCTCTTCTCCCCCAGGGCTGGGCTTCCTTAAGGAAGAGTTTGTCTTGACAACCAGGGTCAGGAACACACGTGGGCGGGGTGGCCTGGAGCGGTGACAGCTGCGGAGTAAAGGGAAACATGAGGACAGACAGCCCTCAGCCCACACCTCTGCAGTGGGCAAACCCTTCTGAGCCTGGCGCTGGGCTGCGGAGAGGAAGCTGAGACTGCCCAAGGCGCCCCCACCCGACACCGTGTCTGCCAGTCCTGGGCGGCTCTTTGGAGAGCGTGGACCACTACACTAAATGCCCCCCTTCGCTGTGCCCCCTGGACAGTCTGGACACTGCCAAGGTGGTGGTGGGGTATGGGGGGGCCTCACCCAGGCCTGTCAGGCTTCTGTGAACAGTGCCACGGTGGTGGCCTGTTCTCCTGCAGTCTCCTCCTTTTGTATCTCCACCTGCTGTCCTCCAGCGCTGACATGAATTCCAGCAGCTCCTCAGCCTTCTCTTGCATTTTCATTGTTCTAACGCTTCCAGCCTCCACAGAACTGGCAGGAAGAGGAATCTTCCATTGAGCAACAAAGGACTGTCAAATCCGATGAAAGCCTAGGTACTGGACGTGGACAGGGTGGTCATGGAACAGTCCTAGTCTCCCCACCTGGCAGAAACTAAAGCATGAAGACAGTCCTCACCTCTGAATGGCCTGGACCAAACCCGAGACAATGCCGCCCAGCAGACACAGCCAGTGCGAGCCCGCGGAGCCCAGCACAGTGACCTACATGCCACGTGAATGTTTGCTGAACCAAATCCAATCTGAATGGTATTGGAAGGAACTGCACTCCTCTTCAGGAGGCGACAGGCCCTTGCTCAAGAGAAGACGTGCAGAGTCTATGATGAGCCTGAGTACCCTCAGTGAGGGAGCCGGGGTGGAGTCCCAGAAACCTAACATGAAGGGAAAATTGTGTCCCCTTCCCTGGAAATTCCCCTGTCTGCAGTCGCAGGCCGAGGAGACAGATTCGGAAAATAGCAGTGTCATAATTCACACTTCTTTTCATCAAGCACAGAGCACTCTGGCCTTTGCTTGCATTGTTCCCCTGCCTGAAGTGCTCTCCTCACCCCACTTCCTCTAACAAAAAACCTTGCAACTAAGCAGCTATGTGTGAAATAATGTGGGTCTTACTGGGATCCAGAAAGATTTGAGAGGTGGGGAGAAAGGAGATAATTAAAATTCAACTGGCCAAATGTTGACAATTAATGTCATGTGTTGGTGGGTATGTGAAGGTTCATTCTGTTATTCTATTTTCTGCCTATTTGGAAATTTCCATGATAAAAAGTTTCTTAAAGCTCCTATGCCCCCATTAAACCCAGGTCAGTCCTGCCTTGTACATGAGCTTTCCTGATGGACAGGCTCCTCCCTAGTCCTCTAAGGGCAGGGCCAGTGTTGCCCACAGTAGCACAAGGCTTTCCTGTAGCCATATATATTAGGTATTTGTTTCATAGACTTTCAGTTGCCTCTTAAATTTCATGACAGAAAGGAGAAGATGGGGAAGCAACTAACATGTCGTAAGGTCCTGGGCTGCAAGTTTCTCACATAGGCCTTATTCTTCCTCCACCACCTCTCCAGCTCTCCCTGGGGGTCTCATAAGTATTTGTTGGACGACAGAGGAATCATTAAGCAAACATCAGCACAATCATCTGGTGGACTGGTAGACAGCCATCAAAGACAACGGAGAAGTTTCTAAAGACATGGGGAAAGGCATGCTATAGTGCTAAGTGAAAAAAATCAAAGCACAGAACCATGTATACAACATGGTCTTCACTGTATAAAAAACTTGCTAGAAAAAAGACTGGGAAGATCTCAAAATGTGCTTATTTTTAGGTGGCTGATTATTAGAGATTTTTTTTCTTGTTTTTAAATTTTCAAGATGTGGTTTAGCATCAGATATAACAGGAGTCAGCAAACTTTTCCTGTAAAGGGTCAGATAATAAATATTTTCAGCTCTGCAGGCCATATGGCCTCTGTTCAATCCACTCAATTTGTTATTTTAGCAGGAAAGCAGCCACAGACACTATGTAAATGTGAGTGTGGTCATGTTCCAATACAGCTTCTTTTACAGAAACAGGTGGGAGGGCTGGATTTGTCTCATGACCACCCATAGTTTGCTGACCTCTGATCTATGACTTTACAATCAGAGAAAAAGTTATTTAAGTTACATTAAGTATGTGTTCTTTGTGATGATGAGGTCCTGACACTGTGGAGCATACATAGTACAGAAAGCTTACAGTCATGCTTTATCCTGGTCCCCTTACATCATAAACACTAGAAATTCAAAGTCATAAATTAGTGAATATGAGCATGAAAATTCTATGCTGGGTAGAGGAGTAAAAATTCACAACACCAGTGATAAATATAAAATTTATCTCTATTTTAAGCCTAGTATATTTCATTTATTTAGATTTTCTTTTGTGTATTTTAATAAAGTATTATAATATTTTAGAGACCTCTCAGAAATCTATTACTTTTAAAACATAATTTAAGATGAAGAGGAAAAAGTTAAATTCTCATTTCTTTTTTTTTCCCCTCCAGATTTTCTGAAGCAAAGTCCCTGGGAGAAAATATAAATGAAGCAAGAAGTAAAATCGGTAAGCAGGCGATCTTCTGTGAGCCTCTCTCACGGACCATTTTTCTGGTGGAAACCAGGTCATGGTGGCCTCCGAAAGCCATGGCCCGGTTGCAGGAGCGCCCAGCCAAGGCAGTGCTTAGAGTGCCTTTCCTTGCGAGTCTCTCCTCCTCCCCTCGTCCATCAGGAAAAACAGTTCCTTTTGCCTAAAACTTGAGCTTTTCACCCCCCCCCCGCCCCCCATGCAGGCCTGAGCTCTAGCATCCCAGTGAGAAAGCTGACCTTTTCCCTGGCGTTTTCCAGCAATAGCTCTGCTGGCCATCGCCACAGGATTGCGGTGACAATGGTATTTTCAGGTGCTGGGAAACACCGTCACACCTCCAAAGCTTACACGTAGCATTTCAGCACCCTCCAGGGAGCCAGGGGAAGGATGAGAAGCAACACTGAGCCGGTGTGCCTTCCCAGGATGCAGGCTGCTGAGCAGGGCTCCCCCACTTAGGCGTGCATCTCGGGAAAGGTGAGGTTAAAGCCAGAGGCAAATTCAACAAAAGGGTGTCACAGACCTTTGGGACAGCCAGAGGAGAATGTGTCTTTCATTCCAAGCTAGAAGACACACGGGGAAGACACACAGAGATCCATCTCCCGGGTGGGGCATGGATCCCCGTGGGAGGGAAGGCAGCAGTCACCAACCTGTTCACAGCGGACTCCCTGAGTCCCATTGTCCCCACCTTCCTCCTTCGGAGGGACAAAAGCCGCTCTGAATGGCCCTTTTGGCTTTTGCTACAGAATATTGAAAATCATGGTAGCCTTAAGTTATTTCAGTTGAGGAAAGGGAAGGCCTATGTCCTCTTCACTGGCCTGAATGGGAAGGGCTAAGGCCGCCAGGCCCCGTGCCAGGCGGAGAATCGCTAGAGCCTCAGAGATTCTTACCCTCAAGTCCAGGATCTTGGACGGGGGAAGATGCGCCTTCATTTTTACTAACCTCTGCCTGCGGTGTAGCACTGCCTCAGTGATGAATGTAGGCAGCAGACCACAGTAGAACTAGCAGCACCTGCCAGCAGTGGGAATCACAGACATTTCCATTTTACAGCAGAGTTGGCTGACATGGTAAAATGTCCTTTATACTCACCAGTACTTCTCAATTACAGCCGGTATTAGACTCGGCATTCAATCTGGTTATTTAATGCATTTATACAAAAGCACATAGATATCCCTGTATCAAAAAAAGTTTTAAAATGTTGGTAACCTTTAGTACAGTTAGTTTCTCTTTAAACCCTATTTAAAATTCCTTCCTTGGCCTGGACCCCAAGCCCCTGAAATTGCATGAAAAAATGGGGGGTTAGGAGTGTGCATTTGTCTGGAGGTAATAGTTTATCTGATTCTCGAAGGGATCAGAGACCCAAAGCAATAAGGAAGCTGATTGGGCAGGAAAGCAGATGCCCAGCAGAGGAGCAGCCAGTCCGGCAGCAGGGCAGCTGACCCACCTGGCTGGTGGCCGGGAGGGCGGGGCAGGGGAGCAGGCCCCCGTGGATCCCAGGACTTGTCAGCATCATGTGACTCAAAGGACCCAATGGTCTGTTTTCATTCCTGGGAGACAGGAGGAAAGACCTTTTATAAATTGCTTCTCCACACAGAGTAGTATAAGGTTTCGCTCTTGAAATGTATCTCTCTAAACCCAAAGAAAACTGTTCCAACAGTAATGACATAGATTATGACAGAAGGTACCCCTGGCCTATGCCAATGTACTTAGCTTTGTGCTCACAGTTCCTTGGGTTGTCACACTTCTAAATTCTCCATCATTTTGGTGCAATAACATATGTGGATGGATCCCATTCGCCACGTTCTTGGGATTAAGCACGCCGGGTCTGCCTGCTGCTGCACAGGTTGGGGCGGGGAGACCTCCCACGGAGGACATCTGTGATTGCAAATATGCCAGCAGAAGCCCTGGGTGAGCAAACCTTTGTTTTCTCTGGAGACTCACAATGTGGAGATTCACTGCTAAGAGAAAGCAGCTGGTGCAGTGGTGCCAATAAAGTCATCATCACTATCACTTCATTTCATGCCAAGAGCCGACTAACACCATCCTCTTACAAATGTGCTCGTGATCCGAGGCGGTCCAGGTGCGTGGATCACTGCGACTCAACCCCAGGACTGAACAAGCCCCTCCTGGTGCTGGGCCACAGAGCAGCCCGCCATCCCTGCATCTCAGACCCAAGGTGAAGACGCAGAAGGCATAAGGTGGAATTCATACACTTATTTAAAAATTCCAAAGTAACCTTGAGGGAAACTGCTTTCGGGAGATTTGTGATGTTCCTGAGTCATAGATCTTTAATTTCTTCCTTAGGGAGAGATGAAATCAGGTGAGATTAAATTCAGTCCCCAATGAGTGCTTTAGCGACTCCCAGGGTGAGGAGGTGAGAGCCCTCACGATGTGCCATTACATGCGCAAAACGACGACTCAGCTCCGCTCCAGACTGTGCCACATCCCCCCTCTGTGGCACGCACTTGGAAGTGACCTGCGGAGAGGACATGAAAGCTGTGTGTGCGCACTGCAGATCAGCCGGCCCACCTGTGTAACGTCAGGTTGCCCCTGTCTTCTTGGGCCATTTGGCTTTTCTCTGACATTGTGAGCTGGAGCTGCCACTTGCGTTTCGTTCTCAAAAATCCCTGACACGTCCATATAACTTGTTTTTCTTAAAACAAGCTACCCCAAACTAGGTAGGTAAGCTCTTGCCACAAACTCCTTTTCTGGCCCTCTCTGTACATTGTTTAGATCAGTCCTGATGCTGAAACAAGTTTAGATCGGAAACGGAAGAATAAAACAGTCATAGAATATTTGTGTCCGTCGGAGAGTCATTTCCCTTGTGTTTGCTTACCGGCCCCATACACAGGAGCTTCTCATCCGGTGGGCTGTGTTTTGACCGTGTTCATATACACCCTGGTTCCATTTGTCGTATCTCTAAAAATGCTGTCGAGCCCAGGCTGTGGGGAAAGAAGGAGACTGCTTTGGAGGTGGCGGCACAAACCAGGCCATTTTTCACTCACTGGGATTCTGGCATCGGTGTTCCTACATCAGAGTTCTCCCACTGGCAGCATTGTCTTTGGCAATAAAGGACAATGAATGGCTGTTCCCTGGCATGAGGCCCACTCCCGAACCAGTCCAGGAGCCAGCTGCTCTGCAGGCAGGTGAAAGGCTTTGACAGACACCTCTTGGCACGTCTCCATCCTCCATAGACCGTCCAGGCCTAAATGAGAACTGACGTCACAGGATGCTGCACAGAAGGGTTTTCACCAGAGAGCCAATCAACGACCAGTTCCAAAATCACAGGAAATGTCCTAGAAGAAGCTGTCAGTGAGCGGTGAAGGAAACGACCAACACGGGAAAGGCTAACAAGACATTCTGAACGTTTTCTTTCTCCTGCTCCAAACTCGGAGACGGATCCCAACCCAACCTTGGAAACAATACTCTTTTTAAAAAGGTTTCTCCCGTACATTTGGGATTTGGGAAAATCAGATCTGGGTCTCCATTCTCAGAATAAATAGGACTGTTTTTCAGTTGTGTGCATTTCTATACTTGAATATTCCTCTGAGGTTTACTTCTAGACCTGCTGGTGCATGTCGGCTTCTAGTATCTTCTCCCAGAGCCGGGCAAGACAGCAGCCGGGGCATGTTGCTAGCTTGTGAAGACCTGAATCAGGTGTATTCTTTTGTTACTATTTGTCACCAGGTACAAATAACAACCACATCAACAACAGCCTCCATCATTCATTGAGCACTCACTCTGAGCTGTGGCAAGAACGCAGCATGCCTTATGGCACATAATCCTCCCAGAGAGAGCCATTGCCTATAGGGGCATCACCTTATGTCCTATAGCCTGCGAGGCACGATCTTTACAGTTGCAACACCTCAAATCAGGATCCACCCCACTTGGCTATTGCTTCATATTCTGGTTTTAAATGTTTATATTATAAAAACCTCTTCAATGAAGATGAGCCTGCCTTACAGCTGATGCTGTCTAGAGTCTATGAAATATGGTATTATTGTTATTTTGCAGATTTTTTAAAAATGGTGTTTCAGTGAGGTGACCTACCAAGTGGCCAAGCTGGAATTAAAATTTATTTCTGTCCAATTCCAAAACTTTTAAATACAGTACATCATCTCCATAAATCAGGTTCATTTCACTTTGACATTTTCTTCTGAGTTTAATTTGCCTTCATCCTACGGGATCTGCCCAACAGGCTCATACTAGACCCAAGCTCATGCACACACAGCCCAGGAAGATTAAAGGGGTCTTTGTGACGTGATTCAGGGGCTCAGTTGTGGTGGTGAGGGGCGTCTGAGACCCAGCCTGCCCGGCTCCCCATTCCAGGTGCACGGGCCCAGGGCTGCTAGCCCCTGAGGGCACCTAAGGGCACCTTTTTCTAGTTTGCAGAGAGAAGTGCTGTGGACTCCCAGCAGCTCCCATGGGTTCCAACTGTCGTTTTCAATGGTTTGGAAAATGGAAGCGTTCTATTTTCAGGTTGTATACAGTTCCAACTGAATGGGTTCACTGATGCTTCAGAAAACCTGAGAGAATTCAAATGTCAACTTAGACGAGGTTTGATAGGAGTAGGTGTAAAGAAGGACTTATGCTTAAGTACCAAAACCACCGCAGGTAAGAACTAGAGAAAGGCTGGTGAAGGGCGGGCATAGACGTCACCAGAGGTCACAGAACAAAACTGTTACCGCAAAGTGAAAACATTTTGCCTAAATAAAGGGTATCTCCACAACAGGAAATGCAAAAGTCAAGACGCCCCCTTCCTCCCTGCCCAGCAGCTCTGGGCCAACATTGCGTCTCCTCGGTAACTCTACAGAAGAGAGGCGGCTCAGAGAAAAGCAGCAAAGTGATGATTTAAAAGTTACCAAGTGGATTTTTGCATTTTTAAGCGATTCACCACATGTGTATTTTAAGCTCTGGTGGTGTATTAGAGTATTTAGTTTGATTTTTTAAATTATACTTATCAAAAATGCCATTAATTTGGG